GAAGTTCTATGCACGAAAGTAATAAATATGGAGAATGTTTTGTCATATATAAAAAAGTTATAAATTTTATAAGATCTCGAGGTTTAAATCAGCGTCATTTCACTGCTTTCTTAAGTGAGTTAGATAGTGAATATTCGGGTTTGTCCTACTATACCGAGGTACGTTGGTTATCTTGCTCCAAGATTCTCAACACAATTCCAGGTATTTCGAAAGAAGAAATATGTACCAGTTTTTAAAAACGAAAAATCAAGACGTAAGTTTGTTTTACGATCCAATTATGGATACAAGATTTATCTTTCTTGGTTGATATAACAAAACACTTAACCGATTTAAATTTATCGTTACAAGGAGAAGATCATATCATTACGAATATGTTTGACATAAATTAAAGCATTCAAATGTCAACTAGTTCTTTGGGAAAAACAACTTAAAAATGAAGATTTGACGAACTTCCCGACTTGCCGCATGAACAAATCAAGTTTAGATGATACTTGTTCGTATCAAAAATACGCAGAAAAAATTGCAAATTTAACAACTGAATTTGAAATGAGGTTTAATGATTTTAGTTCCCTCGAAGACAATTTTTTTTTTTTTTTTTTTTTTTTTTTTTTTTTTTTGTTTTCTTCGATTTTTCTCAATAAGTATTGACTCAGTACCCAGCCATATGCAAATGGAGGTGATCGAGATTCAATGCAACTCAAATTTGAAAGCAAAATTCATTGAAGTGGGCGTGCCTGAATTTTACGAATATTTACGAGCCAGGTTTGAAAATACTCGAAAATTCGCATATGAAATTATTTCCATGTTTGGTAGCACTTATCGGTGCGAGCAGTTATTTTCAGTCATGAAAGGTAATAAGTCTCCTATTAGAAATCGTATTAATGATGCTCACCTTGGGTCAGCGTTGAAAGTTGTTTTGTTCACTACAAACAAAATTTCTCCCGAAATAGGAAAGATAATAGCAGAGAAGAGATATCAAGTATCAGGACGTAAACATTAAATTTTTCTTGTTATTTTCTATATATATATATATATATATATGTTTTATTATTGTATTATTCGAAATAAATCTACGTTTCTATGAATATTGATTTTTTTATTTTATTTTATTTTATTTTATTTTATTTATTTTTTTTTTTTTTGTGGTCCGCCTAAAGTTAAACCTTGTTTGTTTGGCCCAAGTGTACCTATGAGTTTGACATCCCTGTTGTAGAGTATCAAAGAACTCATTCTGAATGAAGCATTTTCGCTAATACAAGATTTAGAAATTTTGAGTGAAAAGCCAATTTATGTGGTAAAATTTACAAGATACGTGAATAAATGTCCCCCAACACCTTCACTTTTATGCATATTAATTCAAGACTATTTTTATAAAAATAAACATAATAAACAGTAGTAATCTCAATTGGAATTATGAAATAGAAATAATTGTAATAAACATGAGAAACATAAGAAACATAACTATGCTATTTTTGAAAAAACAAATCAAGTAAAAGTTGAAAAATTGAAATATATATAATAAGAAATAGTGAAATGTAAAATATTAAGTGTACATGAAATATAAAAGGCCAGAAAATGCATTAATTAACTTACTTTCTTTCTACTTGGATGTCGGTAAACTATAATTCTGTGTCTTACTCAGAAGGGGCGTGTGTCCGAAATGTCGTTATTGGTAGTGTTAATACATTGAATTATTACAGACGATGAATCTTTGAGAAGCTATTTTGGGTAAGTGGGAGGGACTAGGAATGTTTGAGGAAGGTTTGTTGCGGAATTCTTATGTGAGTGAAAACGTCTACTAGTGTTCACAGGAAGAATTACACAAAGAAACAGGTAAAATCAAAATTCATTTAGAAACAAGTAATTGCAGTGAAAATTAAAATATGAATGTTAATAAAAAAATTTCATTAGCAGAATAAAATTTTAAAACTCAGTTACAAGCACTGGCTGATTGATAATCGAACATGTAATACTGGTGTGTTCTCTCCACCACGAAGCCTAAAGAAGAATAAGCTTAATTTTCTCAAGAAAATATAACTAAGCATTTACTAGTTATAACTTCTCTATCAGCTTTTAATGCATAACGCCTGGAAGACAAGTCGCTAGGAAGATAGCACCCGAATTTCGAATTTTCTTAAATATTTTATATTTTGTACGAATTTAATCCAATTTTTATTAACAAATTCAGCTAATATCTGGTTGTAAAGAAAATTTTCAGCCAAAAAAAGTTGTTAATAAAGTTATGAAAAAAAGTGAAAGCAGTACTTTAGTGCGGGTAGTAATCACTACCCAAATCTATGATTTCCTGCCAACTTTTGATAATTTTTCAAAGCCTTCGGCCCAGAACTTGGTGGCCGCGAGTCCAAAAACAGATCAACCTCATTTCGGACGTCCTGTGCAGAATGGAAAATAGCACCAGCAAGTTGCAGCTACAGGTGGTGAAAAGAGATAGAAATCCGAAGGAGCGATGCCGGGGCTATATGGTGGGTGTGGCAAAAGATCCCATTCGAGCCCGTACAGAGTCGTGACCTCTCGAAGGTCACGGTCCAGCCGCTGAATGCAGACACATGTGGCCTTGCATTATCTTGATGGAACATTACCTTTCTGCGCCGGAACTCAGTTCGTTCGACGTTTTTCCTTGATAGGTGATAAGTGAAAGCGGGTCCGGACATCGGGCGGCTTACATAGGCTAAACTGGTATTGTCCGGATCCCGCAACTGTTTAATGCAGTACCCCCGGCGGCCCATAAAGAACGCATGAGGAGTTCATTAAGATGCTACATATGCTGATGAAGGCATTAGACTATACATTTTACACATTGCTACTCATATACTATGCAGACACATATTCCAAATACTAATGCAAGACATTACGCAAGTGTACAAATACTAACGCAGATATATAGATACGATAAATGGCGAAAGAAAACATGTATACAGATACTAATTACACTATTACACAATATTAAATACGAATACACAAATATTAAACTGCCCTATATAAACTATGCAGATATTAAGCATACTATACAGATTTTTAATATGAGTGCAGACACAAATACTAAATACAAGACAGTAAGCAGACACATAGGGCCTAAATACATTACTACATGATACACAGATACAAAGTACTGATTCGGACATTATACTTTATATTATGCAGACGTTACACAGATATAAAGATACCGCATAATATACAGATATATAGATATACAGATACTGCATAGATAGCATACAAATACGCAATCAATAAGCTGGTGCATACTGCATGACAGATCCTGCCATAATGCCTCTAGTTTTTCCATTATACTTCTTAATTTCTTAAAAGAAGCCAGCTGCTTGATGAAGAATAGCTTAAATAGGTCATCAATGTCTGGCAACCTAGTGTGCCACGTCTCTGTGAGTAGGCAAGTTGTTATGTAATGGTCTGGGATTCAGCTTCACCGCACACACATGGGTTATGGGTTAGAGGAAACAAAACCCGTTATCCAGAAATATTTCGGAAAAGGACCATGGCATAATAGCAGCGTCAACACGGACAAGCATCTTACTGTACACCTTACTGTCGATGGTTTTACCTTTTCCGGGTACTCTTTGTGGATAATACCACGGCAATCCCACCAGATACAAAGCATGACTTTTTTTGCTAGTCAGATTGCACGTTGCGACGCTGCCAATGACCTCACCGGGTGCAGACTAACTCGCTTTTCGGCCTGTGTTGTTGAAATAAATCCACTTTTCATCACAAGGGACATCTGGTCCAGAATTTTATCCTTGCGTTGGTATTTGAGAGGATTAGTGCAGGCCCGAACACATCTGTCCTTATCTGCTTGAGTCAGCTCATGCGACATTCAGCGATTGAACTTGCACGCCAAGTTTATGGGATGAATAGCGCGACTAATAGACATAGCACTAACGTCTAACTCATTAGCAAGCTCCCGAGTGGTTGCATACTGATCTCCTTCCCCAAGATCTCGTAGGCGAGCCTCATCAACACCAGTAAACCAGCCAGAGCGCTCTGCTTCTTGAATGTTATAGTCCTTGTTGTTGAAAATTCGGTATCAAATTTTCACAGTGTCATATGATACAGCATTATAACCTAAAGCCATACACATGATTTGGTGATATTATGTAGCTGACGTTTTGCAACAGAAGTAAACGATGATTCTAATATGATAGCGTGATAGCTTCATTTCAGACACCTTGTACTTAATGATAACTATACTGTTTTACGGATTTCACACATTGTTTTAAAGTGTTTTAAAGCTAGTCTCTTTCTTTCAGCGTTTTAAAGCTAGTCTCTTTCTTCTAACACAGTGTTTTAAAGCTAGTCTCTTTCTTCTAACACAGTATTTTAAAGCTAGTCTCTTTCTTCTAACACAGTGTTTTAAAGCTAGTCTCTTTCTTCTAACACAGTGTTTTAAAGCTAGTCTCTTTCTTCTAACACAGTGTTTTAAAGCTAGTCTCTTTCTAATGCCAAAAATCGTTTGACAAAATATGATTAAACACGCCAACGCGAATAGTTTGTATGTACACTTGCATACAGTATGCAAGTACAGTATTACAGTACATTTTGTACTTGCATACTTTATGTAATTCAAATGTCACCCCCCTCCAACGATGAAAGATTTCATCTCAGTGGCAAAGTGCCACCATCTTCTTAGCAATCCATATACTGTCTAAATGACCCCTTCTTAGATTAATTTACTTCCAGGATGCCTCACAGAAAGAAAACTGGCAAAAAACCTGCAAATCCATGCAGGTTTACCACCAGTATAAATGGAATGGAAAATAGCCATCGGCAAAAATGACTGCAATACAATGTGTGGTTACTACTATAGAATTTTATATGTGTTTATTCCTTTGAAATTTAGATAAGTGGAATAACAATGAGCAAACTCAGGTGTTTATCTATTCAGATTAATGCCAACTGATTAAGTTACCCTTTCTTTGTTATCTATATACAGTTCCGAGTTGCTATCGTTTTAGAGAAATGTCGTGATAAAAATGAAAACATTCGATGAATTCCACGCTTTCATTTCTATTTTGGTACTTAGAAAGGTAATCAATACCTCATTTCTCCAGCATGGAATGTTTAAGTACTGTTTACGACTGGAAGTATAGTCTATTTCTCGTTGTTTCACTCAGCTTTATTGCAGGTAAGATGATATAATAATTTTCTTTACACTGAACTAATTTCAGTAAATAGAATATGTAAACCATTTAGTACCGTAGGCAATCATATGCAATTGGCCCTTCAAACAAAGCAGTTTGAGTTGCGCTATTGCACTTAAATGTAATGTTTTTCAATAAATACATTAGAAAATATTTTGAGGGAATATTTAAGTTTAACTGTGAATCTTTGAAATACTGAAGAACTTTAGAAAAGTAGAACATTTGGCAAAGAAAATTTTTATAGTTATCATAGTCTGTGTTAATCCTGACTTCTACAAGATTTATACAAATTTCTTAAAGTAAAATGTCCATAGTCTAGCAAGTTTGAGTCTTCGGTAATGCCGAATTATCAAACATACTGGATTATGGAATTATCAAGAAAATGCTGCAAAAATACAGTTTTGTAAAACCCTATTGTAAGAAGCAAAATTTCAAATGCAGCTCTATGTAAAATAACTCTATAAACGCATTCAACTGAAAAATCTCGAAGATAAGCTATACAATATAATTTACTATTCTTAACTCTTATTATGTTATTGTTGCATGAAGACTTCAGAATTCGATGATCCGCCTTATTCTCAAACCATCATTGTAGACATTGACATTGTAAAAATTCATTGCTTCTCCACTGATCTGAAGCTATTACGAACATCTGAAGAACACGTCTCCAGGACCAGTCAACAATGGACGTCTGTTCTCTTCACAGACGAGTCCAGGTTCACATTGGAGAGTCTTTCGTCATCTGATCTGGAACTGATTTAGGTCGTTAGCTGATCTAAAAGGAAAAACGCACCAGACACAACCAATACCACATTGTGGAAAGACACAGTTACAGAGGTGGTGGTATAATGGTTTGGGCTGAGATTTCTCTCGGTGGTCAGACTGATCTGCCCCTATTCCATGGAGGAACTTTGACAGGCGTGTATTATCTAGACGAGATCATTGATCAATATCTCCACCCATATGCTGTCGCTATTGGTCCTGGGTTACTTCTGATGGACGACAATGAGCGAACGCACCGAGTTCGGGTTGCTGAAAAATTATCTTGAGGGTCCCGGTATGGAACGCATGGAAACGGCCAGCTCAATCCCCAGACCTGAATCCGATAGGGCATCGTTGGGACTACCTTGGGAGACAGATTGCTGTTTAAGTCCTCCTACAAGGTCCTTAGATCAGCTTGAACAAGGATTACTTTGTGTCTGGTCGTTGTTTCCCATTTCACTGATCGAACTGTAACGTCAATATGAGCGGTTTCTCTTAGAAAATCCTCCACGATGATATCCCTCCCATCAATCAGGCAAGATAGTTCTCGTGTGCTTTGCCTTATTTAAATAATATAACCTAATACTCTTGAAACAACATCGCAGTTAGCAGTTTATTTGTATAAAAACAGCAAAATGCAGTGTCCATCTTTAGGTCATCAACTCCCTAAGACAATCACCTTTAGAAGCAAACAATATTTCTGAAAACGTACATAAACACCACTGCTGAAGACAATCACGTTAACAGAAAATCGAATTCATTTGGAACTATGAGCGTTCATCTTGCAGAGGGTTTGATTGTACCCTAAAACTGGCAATTTTTATTATTATGTTTTCATCCTTCTGCAAAATATATGCTATTAGTTTATTGCAGAATTTTTTTAAATCTTAGTGGACAATTAAGAAATGGATTAAAAGACGTTTTCAAAATATGAGTTTCTATGCAAAAACGAGCAATTTGGCCAGCGGGTGCACAAAACTGAAAGTTTACTTTCGGTCCCACTCGAAAGACACTGAAGGCGCAAAAACTGACTTAGTTCACTATTCTGATAAGTTTCAAATGTAATCAAATATGGCTGCTATGGTAAAAAAATTAGGCTTAGCCGCACTTAAACAACATTTAAATTGTTGATAATTCTACAACTATTGCATGCAGATTGACTGAAGGTGCAAAAATCTTAACCGGAAGATAAAAATAACATAATTCAATAATTTTTAAAGCGAAAAATACACAATTACCAACATGTAAGAATAAAAAGACTGACTTCACGAGCCGAATAACAGAGCGGATGTATATATATTTATATGCTTTTGGTGCCGCCGATTGCAACCAAAAATGGAGGTGCAAACTAAATGTTATAGCAGTCCTATATACAAAATTTCAACATTCTGAGGCTACTCATTTTTGAGTTATGAGAGATACATACATACGTACGTACGTACATACAAAAATAAATCGCATCTGAATCCATTTTAAATACCTTTTTCAACTCATTTTGGGTAAAAAGAGTCATTTATTCTGTTCAGATGTCAAGCAAAAACATCGTTAAATTGTATTCGATAGCTGTCAAAATGGATATTTTTATTGAAATATGACATCCCAAAATTTTTGTGATTACAATACTACCTTTACTTCATACAAGGAAGTAAAAATGTTGCATTCTTGTATTAGAAAAGACGAAGAGATAAAAAAAGTGAGAACTTGCATGAACTTAACGAGGGTTACTGTAAAACCACAACATCAGAGGTAAGTCAAATTAACCTCATTTTGCCTATCGACCTTTTGGTGGTTTCAATTCAAGAGGTATTCGATTCTGGAATTTATTCCAATGCTAATGAAATTGTTTTCTGTTACTTACTAGAAATTTTGTTTGTTGATGAACACCTTTTTTCCTTAAAAATGGCTGTGTCCAAATTAGAGCACGGTAAGCAATTATTGGAATGCGTGCAATGGTTTTAGTTTTAGTGTTTAAAATCTTGAATAGAAGTAGCTGTCAAAAATGGTAAAATACAAATTCATTTTTTCTACACTTTTATAAACATTTTATGAAATGAATTTTTACTAAAAGTTTATTAAAGAGATCAGTAAATTACGCAGTATTTGCTCGGTCTTATACTGATTAATTTTTTAATTTACTTTTTAACCGATATTTAAATTAGTATAATTAGCATAATAAAATTTGTACAGTTTATTAAATTTAAGAAAAAATATATTTCATAAAATCTTTAATATCATAATTTATTCAACTTTTTTTAGGGCAGCTAAAACTTTTTTGAAGTTATACTGGATTTTGAAGCAAAAGTATATGAAATCGAATTACCACTGACGACTTTATATAATGCATGATCTGAATTGGAATTAAATATTTAATTAATTGATAATTAATATTTGTTGTTTATAAATGATGCAGTAAATAATGACGTATTGTAAAACTTTAATTTTAATTAAATCTACTTTAATAAAATCAATTGTTATTTATTAGTTACTATTATTTTACTAGTTATTTTACCTTATATTAGAAAAGCCAAAAAGAAGAATATATCTGTGGCATGGATGTAATCATCTAATCAATGTTTATTATGTTTAACAATGTTTTTACCGAAATATTGTGTACAGAAAAGTTTTTGATTCATTTCATGAGTTAATTCAAAGTTTGAATTCTGCTGTAAAATAAAACAGTAAACTAATTCATCCACGTTTTTATTTATCTTTTTATAGATATCTTTTGTAGATATCTTTTACAGATTTATTAATTTTTTTAAAGCCTTTTTTAATCTTTATTACTCCAAAAGGGGCTATTTGTCTCAAAGGAATATTGCGTCGTATCACTATAAATGTAAGTTCACTTTAATAGATGTTACAAATAGATGGCTAATTCACTTTTCAGATTGTTGCCACCAAATGTTAACTCCCTGTATTATTTTTAAAGGAATTAAATTATTAAGAATCTGCATATATGCATAGATCTTCCTCGCATTGTGAAAAACGGCGATACCTAGAACCATCAACTTTTGAATAACGTAGTTCACCCAAACATGTGCACCTGGAAACCCGAATTTTGAGTTTCGAATTTGTTTTATTATTTATTTCATATTTTATAAACCTTTAATCAAGTTTTGATTAACAAACGCGGCGATTTGAAAGCGAATAATGACAATACTGTTTGAAATAAAATATTTTTTGTGTCCACCTCGCAATACTGCCGCCATTCGATAAAATTTAAGATTTTCATCTTTCAGTTCTAATTAACAAACACGGCTTTAAAAAAGCAAAGTGTTGCCGCAGCCTGCAATACAATACTTTTATCTTCTACGCGCCAGCGGGCTGCCATTCACTAAAGCCTGAGATACTTTCACATTTAATCTAAAATACTATTGAGTAATTAACTAAGCGATTTAAAAGAAATAGACACATTTCTTAAATATATTTTTTTCTTTTTTTTTTTTTAATGTTATTGATTTAAATAAAGACGCATTAAAATCATGAGATCTCTTCTAATTAGAAATATTCAGTATTTTTAAGAAAGAGCCGAAGTCATTGAAATAATCATACATTTTTTTCCTTTTTAGGATAACTATTTTAAGTGGCTAGCAAAACAAACAGTTAACTTTTAAAGAAATGGCTTAGCGAATATAAACATATGTTCAAGAATAAGGCAAATGGAAGCGCGAGTACCCATGGTGTAGTGGTTATCACATCCGCCTAACACGCGGAAGGTCCCAGGTTCGAAACCTGGTGGGTACAAGTGACATTTTACTTTACATCATGCATATTTTACTCTTGAATTCTCACTAAGAAGTATATAAGTAGCATTATAATAATTATAATTATTAATTAATAAATTTTTTTTATGTTTTTGTGGAATATTTTTTTTTATTATTTTCATTTATTTATTCCCATTATTTAAGTTATAGAAATATATGCGATCTAAAATTATCATTAAGATTTTCAGCCCAAAAGGGCTATTGGTCTCGGAACGCGATTTTGCGTTCGAATTACTATAAATGGCGAGCTTCACTTTTTCATTCGAGAGTGTTACTTTCGACAAAATATGAGATGTGATCTTTCAAATTGAATCTGCCTACTCTGGATTAGCAGATTAAGTTATTTGAAAGCAACAGATACAGTTCTTAAAAATATTCGTTTCTTACTTTTGAATCGGATTGATTTAAATAATAAAAATGCATTTAATTCATAATCTATCTAATTAAAAATTAAATTA